CATTTAGGCACATTCCTATGTTTGTTTCCTTAGTGTAGACTGCAGTGTGGAAACCTCCGCCCTTTTCCATGACTGTTACATCTAGAAAAGGCAGCTTCCCATCCTTTTCCGTCTCGTAAGTGAAACGCAGCACGGAACTCTGCTCAAATGCCTCCTTCAGCTTCTGCAGATGTCTGACATCAGGTACCTGTGTAAAAATGTCGTCAACATACCTGCAGTATATGGCCGGTTTCAAGTTCATGTCGACTAAGACTTTTTGCTCGATGGTACCCATGTAGAAGTTTGCAAACAGGACACCTAGGGGAGAACCCATGGCGACCCCATCTACTTGCTTATACATGTGCCCATCCGGGCTCAAGAAGGGTGCCTCTTTAGTACAAGCTTGGAGTAGTTTCCTCAGAATACTTTCTGGCATGTCAAGAGGAGTACAGGCTGGATCACGATACACTCTGTCGGCTATCATTCCGATTGTCTCGTCCACAGGTACGTTGGTAAACAGCGATTCTACGTCCAACGAGGCTCTTATCCCTGTGGCCCGTGTGCCCCGCAGTAAGTCCACAAATTCCTTTGGAGACTTCAGGCTGAAGGCGCAAGGAACATAAGGAGTCAGCAGGCCGTTGAGTCGCTTTGCCAGTCTGTACGTGGGTGTGGGTATCTGGCTAATGATTGGCCGAAGTGGGTTTCCAGGCTTGTGCGTCTTGACATTTCCATACGCATATCCAGGTTTATATTCCCCAATGATCTTTGGCAGGTGGAGTCCGGATTTCTTGGCGTTCACAGTTTCGATCAGTTTGTTGACCTTTGCTTTTAATTCGGCTGTAGTGTCCTTCGTTACCCTTTGGAACTTAGTTTGGTCAGAGAGTATGATGTTCATTTTCGCCAGATATTCGTCTTTTTTAAGAATGACATATATTGGCGACTTGTCACCTCTCCTGACAACTATCTCCTTGTTCTCACGAAGGCTTTTAGCTGCCGCTTTAAGCTCGGGGGACAGTATGGTGCTTCTGTAGTTGCCTCGATTCTTTCCTCCTTCTGCAATAAGTTCTGCTTGTAAGGTATCTTTGGTAGTGACCTTCTTTTGTGTCTCGAGGTCGAATATGTCGTCCAACAGAATTTCCAACTCTACTTTCCGGGCCATTTCACTCGGTCTGGACATAACATGACAGTTTATGCCCAGATTTAGGAGAGTGACTTGGTCCTCAGTGAGGTTAATTCCTGCAAGGTTCAGGAAGCATTCTCTTGGTCGTGGAATTGCCATAGGTCCTCCATATAATGTTGTTAGTTTCTTGATAATCCTTGTTTCAGTGCTGAGGTGATGTTGGTCTGTGAGGATGTCGAGGTGTTGTTCAATGCGGGTACGGATACTATGGTCGATGTTGCTATTTCTCCACTCGTTTGTAGCATGAAGTAGTTGCGTTTTGTTGTCTTTGATTTCATTCTCTGCCTTGTATCAACAGCCAATTATTGCACAACTATATTCTACCCACCTCAAGACTCCGCTCCAATATAGAAGCATCAAGAATAGCATTTTACCAAATCACCTCATTCTTTGGGGCACACGTGAGGAACACAAATGCGAACAAGCCTGAATGGTCCCCAGGACAATATGCAACTGAAAACTCACACCCCAGAAGTGACTCGAACCCATACTCCCAGAAGCAACACAACTGGTATGTACAAGACGCCTTAATCCACTTGACCATCACGACCGGACATAATGAGGTGATAGCCGAGGCTATTAGAACCACCCCACCGCCGGCACTCGGATAGTAATCTTGGGCATAGCATTTTACCAAATCACCTCATTCTTTGGGGCACACGTGAGGAACACAAATGCGAACAAGCCTGAATGGTCCCCAGGACAATATGCAACTGAAAACTCACACCCCAGAAGTGACTCGAACCCATACTCCCAGAAGCAACACAACTGGTATGTACAAGACGCCTTAATCCACTTGACCATCACGACCGGACATAATGAGGTGATAGCCGAGGCTATTAGAACCACCCCACCGCCGGCACTCGGATAGTAATCTTGGGCATAGCATTTTACCAAATCACCTCATTCTTTGGGGCACACGTGAGGAACACAAATGCGAACAAGCCTGAATGGTCCCCAGGACAATATGCAACTGAAAACTCACACCCCAGAAGTGACTCGAACCCATACTCCCAGAAGCAACACAACTGGTATGTACAAGACGCCTTAATCCACTTGACCATCACGACCGGACATAATGAGGTGATAGCCGAGGCTATTAGAACCACCCCACCGCCGGCACTCGGATAGTAATCTTGGGCATAGCATTTTACCAAATCACCTCATTCTTTGGGGCACACGTGAGGAACACAAATGCGAACAAGTTTGTTTTCACATGATTATTTATGGTCCGACGCATAAAAGCGCTTCACAAGGGCTTCTCATATTTGAAAAGACAGATTTTTACACACATCATTTCATGCTTATATTCGTTTTTGGGATGAGGTGATATGACAAATGTTTTTGTGTGAGGGGTGACAGAAGACAAAACACAAATCAACGGGCATATTGCATATTTGCTGCTTCTATATTGTTATATTTCTCTTGTTGCGTCAATTGTAAATGGCCAACCTGCTCATGAAAAACTCTCCAGACACAAAGCAGAACGCCTTGAAAGAAACCAACGTCGTCTATGCCTTCAAATGCCCACTTGGGGACTGTAAGTCCCAAAGAACTCAGTATATATGCAAGACAACAACGTCTCTTTCCAGGCGATTAACAATGCATAAACAATACGGCTCCATAAAGGAACATATAATCTCCTCTCACAACCAGACCATCACCAGAGAAGTCTTAACAAACAACACACACACATACATATATATATATATATATATATATATATATATATATATATATATATATATATATATATATATATATATATATATATATATATATATATATATATATATATATATATATATATATATATATATATATATGTCGTACCTAGTAGCCAGAACTCACTTCTCAGCCTACTATGCATGGCCCGATTTGCCTAATAAGCCTAGTTTTAATGAATTAATGTTTTTTCGACAACCTAACCTACCTAACCTAACCTAACCTAACGTTTTCGGCTACCTAACCTAACCTAACCTATAAAGATAGGTTAGGTTAGGTTAGGTAGGGTTGGTTAGGTTCGGTCATATATCTACGTTAATTTTAACTCCAATAAAAAAAATTGACCTCATACATAATGAAATGGGTAGCTTTATCATTTCATAAGAAAAAAATTAGAGAAAATATATTAATTCAGTAAAACTTGGCTTATTAGGCAAATGGGGCCTCGCATAGTAGGCTGAGAAGTGAGTTCTGGCTACTAGGTACGACATATATATATATATATATATATATATATATATATATATATATATATATATATATATATATATATATATATATATATATATATATATATATATATATATATATATTAGAGCTGTAGCAGCTCCCCATGCAGGTGATTTCCTATTAGCAACCCCAATGTCAGCAACCGGCACCCTCTCACACCGCAGGCCCTCCGAATTGCGGTGGATCTCCGCCTCGCTGCCCCAATCCATACCGAATACAGGTGTATTTGCGGCGAGGCAGAGACCGACAGGTACGGACGGCATGGCCTTCTCTGCCAAGGGACAGGAGGATGGCATGCAAGACACGGCAAGGTCAATGACATTATTAAGAGAAGCCTTACCACAGGCAGTTGTCCAGCAGAGAGAGAGCCCTGTTATCTAATGTCCCGCAACTCTGATGAGCCTGTCGGTCGCCCAGACGGAATCACTGTGAACTCCTGGAAGAATGGTAGACAGTTGGTGTGGGACTACACTTGCGTTTCAACTTTAGCCAATGCCTATGTTGACTTCAGTGCTACACAAGCAGGAGGAGCTGCCAATCACCGGGAAGCGGCCAAGTCACGAAAATACAGAAACCTTGAGCACCACTACAATTTTGTCCCCATTGCCTCAGAGACACTTGGTGCCTGGGGTAAAAGTGCTGCTAGCTTTTTGAAGGAGTTGGGGTCTAAGCTAATCGAAACAACTAGAGACCCTAGAGCTGCCAGTTTTCTTTTTCAGCGCCTTAGTGTGGCAATCCAGAGAGGAAATGCTCACTGCATCCATGGTTCCTGCCCGCCATCTGAGGAGCTGGAGGAGCTGTTCAATTTGTGACAAGCAGCCTTGTACCCTGCATGGAATCAATATTGTAACTTTTTTGTGTAATGACATTTTCAAATAAAGTTCGATAAATATACACACATACCAAAAGAATAGGGGTGTTATCTTGAGGTTATCTTGAGATGATTTCGGGGTTTTAGTGTCCCCGCGGCCCGGTCCTCGACCAGGCCTCCACCCCCAGGAAGCAGCCCGTGACAGCTGACTAACACCCAGATACCTATTTTACTGCTAGGTAACAGGGACATAGGGTGAAAGAAACTCTGCCCATTTTTTCTCGCCGGCGCCCGGGATCGAACCAGGGACCACAGGATCACAAGTCCAGCGTGCTGTCCGCTCGGCCGACCGGCTCCCTAGGAGGAGAAGAAGAAAATATCAGTGTTCAGTGAGGATCCACAAGGTCTTCTCTGAGTACTCTTTATTTTCTTCTCCGAGGCTATGGGTCCCTACACTTGCACCAGAGGTGGTACCCCTTCTATATATATGTATATATATGTTTTCCGCCATTGCCGGGGATCGAACCCGGATCCTAGGATTAAAAGTCCCAAGCTATGTCCACTCAGCCACAGACCCCTGTGTGTGTATGTGTGTTTGTGTATACATATATATTTGGTTCTTTATCAGTTTACTCAAGTGCCAGAGGCAGTTAACTATTTTTACTATTTTTAAAAATAAAAAAAAAACTTCCTGTACAGTAGATTAGAGTTACATTAGATGATAATGCTTATTTATTTTTGAAATTTTACAAGGAAAAGTAACAACTATTTTTGTTAATCTCTGGCTGTCGACAGATGTTGGTGGGTTGGTGGCTTGTGTTCTGTCTGATAGTCACCACGGGGTTCACCTCGTCTCTGGTGGCGCACCTTACTGTACAAGGCAGGTCCCGGCCCCTGGAGACCTTCCAGGACCTGGTGAACCAGCCTGGCTGGAGGTGGGCAACTCCTCAATGGATGTTGTCGGAAGCAGTTGTTGATTACTTTATAAAGCATCCAAATCCTGCAGTCAATGAAGTTTATCATAAAATGGAGGTGGGTTGTGGGTGTATTCCTAACTATACACACTTGATGACTTCTGGAAATTTGCGTATTTAATCAAATTTAATATATACTCTAATATAATAATTATTATTATAATAATAATTAATTATTTTAATTGATAATAAAATATATCATGTTTATTATATATTGTTATATATAATTAACTTTTCTGTTATTAGCTTGTCTGCTGTGGTTTGTACAAAAAAATTGAAAGTTGAGAAATAAAACTGAAATGGGATTACGTTCAGTTACTGTTCCCTAGATCATAAAGGAGGCGGACCCACTGAAAATGGTGCTGGCGGGGGGGTTATCCTTCATCTTCCCTAAGAACTTTGCCATCATCAACGTGGCCACACGATACACGGATGAACGAGGCAACACTCCCTTCTACATCAGCAGGGGCATTCCTATCGTCTTGTCCATAGGATGGTGCATCAGGTGAGTTTTCTCTCTTGATAATGCATCTTTCTTTGTTATTCCTGGACATTTGCTAAATTTTCATTCAATCAGTAAAAGTGTGCATTATAATTTTTTCAAATTTAATAGGAAAATCGTTGCCTAGGAGTAATCAACCTCAATTAGTTACAAAAAACTGTATTTAAAATATATAAATATTGGAATCTCTTGCAATTTGTAGTAATCCATTCATATAATAAACTTGACATTGTGAGAGAGGGCTGAAATCTTCTATAAGCCTTTCTGTGGAATAAAGTGTAGAAGATATGAGACGTGTAATCTATATATAAATATATTTACTAGTTACCAAGCACTGAATATTTACATTAATGTTGTCGGAAATCCGACACACAAAATAACATTAGTTACCCATTAAAGAAATCAGAGAACGGGTATTCCGTGACGTCAACAACAAGACGTTTATTTATATTAACTCTATTTCTTTTAAACAATAGTCTAGTGTTTAAACTTAGTGAAAAAGTGTTCACAAGGACTGAATATAATTTCTAAAACCAATATTCACAGCTTGACTCCTATGTTACTGTTAAATAAAATCCGAAGTAGAACAAGGATATTATTGGAACAGAGAGGGAGGGAGCGTCACTACACAGACAGAATGACTCCTGGTTCAACCTTGAAGCCGAGCGGACGTATGGACACCACCTCCGCCTGGGTGCCGCCTGTTCACGTCTTGTTTTCGTGTTTTAGCTTTGCTACTGCCGTTTGGCATCCCTTTTCAACGGTTTGATTGTACGACGCCTGGCGCACATATCGCCTTGGGTCACGGGATTGTTGATAGATTTTTTTTGCGTGTTCTGGCTGGTTCTCCCGGCGGGTGACGGTGTTCACGGGCCGGCTTGGCGGAGAGGTGCCGGGGGTTGGTGGGTCTTGGTGGGTTCCTGGTGTGCCCTCAGTCGTGGAGGGCGGCCGGCTTCTGCTCTGCCGGAGGACACTGAATGACTTTTTGCATTTTAGTTGGGGTCTGAGTTTTGGTTTTGCTACCTGGTGTTCTCTGTGTGGAGCGGAGCCGGTGCTTGTCACCTTAAGGGACTCCTGGGACTCCCCAATCATCTGCTCGTCTGTGCGTTTACTTGTCGTATGGCATATTAGTTTCTAGTGATTGGCGTCACTCGTTTCGCGGTTTGGCTTGGCGTTCCACACTTCCAGGCTTCGCGATTAACCCTTCACGGGTACGCCGGGGCGCATCCGATCCCACGATCGTCGTCGCCCCTAAATCAACAACAACAACACAGACAGAATCATAACAAAACAACAGGAGAGTGATGTTGGAGAATTGTGATACGAGCCTCCCACGACAGACATTTTACTGTGTCCTGGAGCTACCACAGCAGTTCTACCACCCAACACTTACTGTGGGGGCTTGGTAGCCTGGTGGATACCGCGCAGGGCTCGTAATTCTGTGGGGCGGGTTCGATTCCCGCACCAGGCAGAAACAAATGGGCAAAGTTTCTTTCACCCTGAATGCCCCTGTTACCTAGCAGTAAATAGGTACCTGGGAGTTAGTCATCTGTCACGGGTTGCTTCCTGGGGTATATGTGTGTGTATGTGAAAAAAAAGTTAGCAAACAATTGATTGACAATTCAGAGGTGGGCCGAAAGAGCAAAGCTCAACCCCCGCAAGCACAACTAGGTGAATACAGAACACTCGGGTATCCGACAGTAGTGTAAAAGGAGACAGATGGGGAATTGATTTTCAGAAATGGTTGGGCACTTCCATGCCGACTCGACTCTCGGGGGCCAGATCGACCAAAAACTTATTTCAGGTGGTTAGGTTAGAGCACAGTCAGCGCGCGCCTGGCTGGCTGGCGGGGTGGGGTGGTCCATTCCCCCCAGGGGTACCCAGGGCCCACCACCCAGGGTGTGCCTGAAGAACTGGTGCCCTATCCTAACCTGTTTTTTCTCTATATGTCTCTTGCTTTTAAGACGAGTCTAAGGCCTCAAGAAGGGGGTCTCTACTTATGGGAGGTACCGAGGATGAATGTTCAATAGATGAAAACCAAAAAATACACTGGTGAAAGGCATATAAACGTTTTTGGAGTATTTTAATGACATGAGCAAAATTCACGATTTGGGCCGGGGGTGTGACCAGAGTACTATGGTATCAATTTGGGGGCTCCTACTTATGAATAGATCAGAGGGTGAATGTTCAATAGATTGAAACCAAGAAACACAGTTGAAAGCGAATATAGAAGTTTTTGGAGTACTTTAATGAGGCTATGACTGAATAGTACAGGGAGCCCTTGGCACAGCTCCATTTTCTGTAATGGTCAGAGGTGAGTGGTGAGAACGGGGCGCGATTTTTTTACCAATCAAGAGCCGAGTAAAAAAATTCTCTTTCTGTCTCGGGGTCATGGGCCAATCAGGTGAAATTTTCCTTATTTGTCGCGGGGGTGTCACGTGACATGACGTAGGCAATAGGGACCCCCTACCTATGATAACCCCAGTGGGGTCAAGCATAGAAGGGGGGGTCAAGATTCCTTACAAAGACCAAGATGGATATATAGGTGTAGTAAGCCTTATCTTGAATTTGCATGATACTGTGGGGTACATTGACATGAAGGGCGAGTCATAGAACAGGATCTGCATGTGAGATGGGTCATATTAGGGTTTTAAAGAAGTTAAGATAGCTTTAAAGAGTCCTGTATGCTTGATGGTGGGTAAATGTTCAGTCAATAATTCTCGTGTTTTGAATCTGAATGAGGGGTCCTAGTTTGCGTTCTAGTCGTAAAATGAGATCCTTAGTATATTTGCTATGGAAAATGAGCTTTCAGTACTCTATATAATTTGAAATGAGGTCAAGAAAGACATGTTTATGTGCGAGAAGAGTCAGGTTGGAAACTGTTTATTCCAGTCATCCCCCCTTGGCTTTGCTCCGTTTTCTGTAGCTAAAGTAAAGATTCCATTTTCTGTGGCATTCAGTTGATTACTGGTGAAAAAGGCATGCTTGCATTTGTATGGTTCTAATCTGTTTATAGATTTTATAGATATATTTTTCGGACCTCAAATTAGATTTTAATATGAAAAATAGCATCAAATGTATGTCTATCTTTTGTAATAAACGTTACAAGCATTAACAATACCTGTGATATTTCATAGAATACGAAAAGAAGGTTAAATAGTGGGGGCCTCAGCCATATTGTGTTGGGTTTGACACTCCAAACATTAATTTGACACTCGTAAATATACTATAAAGGAAAGTAGTTGAGTGGTTTAAGCAATTTAATATGTACTAGGAATCTGTTCATATTCCGTATGAAATAGCATTTTTAACATCATAATAGTTTGCAGCTATTGTGGTGGGGGCCCAATAACTTCATGTAACGCATCGACTGGCACTATCTGTTGCTATGAAATGCTTTTTGAAATCATGTGTTAAAATTTAAAAGCCGACTCCATCAGTTGCCTTTTATATCAGTGGTGGTATATCGAGCGCAAAGGTTTTCAGAAAATGTTACACCTCCACCTTTCAAAAAGTGAAAAGATGAATTCATTTTGGCATTACTGTCATTACTTTGGAAGTTTTTAATGATAGCACATGCTTAAACAAACTCGCTCGCAAAAACAAACTCATTTTTTTTTTCAACTTACACAAATAAACCCAGGGCTTTTACATTCGCGCAAAATACTTAGTCCCCTCTAAACTTAAAACAGTTGCACAATCTTGCTTAAACACATTGCTAAACTCTTATACACAAACAAAAACTCAATTTTTAACTTACACAAATAAACACGGGCTTTGCACATTCACACACAAAAAATGCTTAGTCCCCCTAGCAACCCGTTCTCACACAAGACAGCACATATATGACTTAATGCTTAAAGTCAATATGTTGAATATGATTTAGTACATATGTGATATATTTCCAGTTACCTTTTTTACCAAGGCCCAAACTCTTCCTCACGTACCAATTTACGTGTCACAGTACCCGTCCGTCAACATAGATAGCAGAATAGTCGTGATTGGCTCAATTATAAGGAAAATTGTAGTTTTCAGGTCCCACATGGGTTGTGAAATTTACCTACTATTGTCCATGCTCTTAGAATATTACAGATCAGCTACTTCCTATTGAAGGCTCGTAGTTTTGTTTTGAGAAATATTAGTTGTTCTTAGTAAATTATAATAAGCACTATAAATTATTACATAGAATAACAGTGCTTCACCAATCAATATTATATACCATAGTTTGCTCTTTAAAAATCTTTAAAGAATGTTTTGTAGGAACGCTAACAGAAAACGATGTTATGTTGGAATGTTTATGGGGTAAACTACTGCAAACTTGGGGATCACTTCCACCCACAGGAAGGGAATGGGGTCCAATACCATCCACTGGATGTGTATGGCGTCCACTACCACCGACAGGATGGGTATGGTGCTCACAACCACCCACAGGATGGGTATGGGGTCCAATACCTCCCACAGGATGGGTTTGGGGCTCACAACCACCCACAGGATGGGTATGGGGTCCAATACCACCCACAGGATGAGTATGGCGTCCACTATCACCCACAGGATGGGTATGGGGCTCCAACCACCCACAGAATAAGTATGGGGTCCAATAACACCCACTGGATGTGTATGACGTCCATTGCCGCCCACAGGATTAGTATATAGAGTCCACTGCCGCCCACAGGGTCGGTAGGGGGTTCACTACCGCCCACAGGGTCGGTATGGGGTCCACTGCCACCCACAGGGTCGGTATGGGGTCCACTACCGCCCACAGGGTCGGTAGGGCGTCGATAGGGGTCCACTGCCGCCCACAGGGTCGGTATGGGGTCCACTGGCGCCCACAGGGTCAGCAGGGGGTCCACTACCGCCCACAGGGTCGCTATGAAGTCAACTACCGCCCATAGTGTTTGTATAGTGCCCACTACCGCCCATAGTGTTATTATGGGGTCCACTACCCCTCATAGTGTCGGTATGGGGGTCCATTACTACCCATAGGGTGTGTCTGGGGTCTATTT